TAATCTATATTACTTTAGAATTTCTCTCTATGACCAATATCTGGAAGAAATCTCTTTCAGCAAGTGTCAATAAATATCTAAAAGGTTAATATATGCTTGACTCATACACTTGTCAAGAGGCCTGGCTTTGGAAAGTGGCAAATCTGAATTAACTTCTACATCTGCCTGTGTTACTTGGACAAGACGCCCCATGTCTCTACAGTTAATTTTCTCCCATGTCAGGAGCTGAGAAGCACTCTAATGCGTGCCATTCCTGAGCAAATAGCTCTGGCAAAGTGTACCCCATAGTTGCACTGACTTGGTGCAGGTGGGTAGGCACTGTCAGAAGACGCTGGCAGGCTCTGTGTAATCCTCCAGCTTTCCTCAACCTCAGGAGAAGTCCCCTTGGATGAGCATGGAGGGGTCATCCATGGCTGTGGATCTGACAGAATCACCCCCTCCCTGACAAGCCACTTTCCCCTTTTATAAGTTCACAGGAGAATGGCCTTGTATGTCTGGGAAAAAAAAAAAAAAACACCTGATCTTGGATTGGTGTTGCCCAGTAGAGTTGCAGACAAAAATCCTGCAGCAGAAAGCATTTGCTAACAGCACATTCAGCCTTTCCTTTGGAGGGTGGAAAATGCCTCATTCCAAGCTCTTTCTCTGCCAGGCAACCCAGAGCAAGCACTATGATTCCTTCTGCTGACAATTCTGCCTGTCTCCTCTTGCTCCTGCTCTAAATGATTTCCCTATGTCTTACCCTCCGTGTTGTTGGAACTAAATCAGAAACTTCTTGTAATGAACAGCTTTTGGGATCAGCACTGTGGAGAGGATGCCCCCCTGGAATAGTGACACCCCAAGAACTTGGGCATCTGCTGCTCCACTTGGGGTCCAGCTCCCTTCTATTGCACCTATGAGAGCAACAGATGTTGCAATTGCTTGGGCCCCTTTCCCTCACATGGGACACCCGTCTGGAGGTCCTGACTCTTGGCTTCGGCCTGGTTTGCAGACATCTGGGGAGTAAATCAGCAGAGGGCAGAGGTCTCTGTCTCTCCCTCCAGCTCTGCAACTCTCAAACACTCCTTAAGAAGAGAGAGATTTCTTACACATGGAGCAGCATGTATACTGTAAGTATGGCTAATATAACATCTAATACTGCTATTTTAAAGATTTATTTATTCATTTAAAAGTCAGAGTTACAGAGAGAGTGGAGACAGAGAGAGAAAACCTACCATCTGATGGGTGATTCCCCATATGGCTGCCACAGCCAGTGCTAGGCCAGGCCTGACAGGTGTGAGACTGGGTCTCTTACATCGGGGGCAGGGGCCCAAGCACTTGGGCCATCTTCCACAGTTTTTCATAGGCTATTAGCAGGGAGCAGATGGAACATGAACCTCCACCCATATGGGAAGTCAGTGTCTCAAGGCAGTACCTTTATCTGTTATGCCATTACACTAGGCCCTGTAATGTGGCCTTAATACACAGATATTTTACAAGGTTGATACAGTGAATAGGTGTGGAATAGGTGAATGTGTCTACAGTTTAATTGGGGGATTGAAGTCAATTTGATAAAGCACATTCCCCTAAGGAAGTCACATCCAACTCATTTGGAGTTGTTTTCTGCGTATCAATGAGAATATCTTTTGCATTAAGGTTGTTACTTTCCCTTTTCAACGATAATTTAAAACTCTACCACCTCATTTCACTTTGACTTCTGTCCTGCAATTTACCATATGCATTAAAGTATTAGCTTAAAATCATATTGAGCTCTAGTATTGCTACTTTAGCCACAGGTACCAGTGAGATCTATCTATCTATCTATCTATCTATATTAAATATATTAAATACAGGTACTACAAAGACATCAAATGAAGCACAGCAAATAGAACATTCCATGTAGTTAAAGATGAGGAAAAGCAGGGTATGTGTAGATTGAGTTTTAACAGTCAAAACATGCTCCCTGAGGCTGGTGTTTGGACACCAGCAGCAGGGTAAGCTTCTGGCAGCAGCACAAGCATCTCATGCAGGTGCCAGTTTGAGTCTTAGTGCTCCACCTCCTCCCATCCAGCTCCCTGCATCTGTGCCTGAAAAAGCCGTGCAAGATGATCCAGGTGCTTGGGCCCCTGCTGCTGCTACTTAGCTGGAGTTTCAGCCTCCTGGCTTCAGCTTCGCTCTCCCCTCCTCTCCCCCCTTTCTGCCTCTCCTGTAAATCTGCCTTCCAAATACATGCCAATTAATGGCCACATCTGCAGAGAATTTGAAAGAAGTCGTACCTTAGTGGTCACCACCACATGGATATTGTGAGAGGTACCCAGCTTCAGCCAAAATAGCACCAAGGCCTTTATTGAACTAATGTTGAATTTCTCCCAATATAGGAAGTCTATAATACTGTGAAAATCACTTAATTTTCCAAGACCTGGATTTCTCTCTACTAAAGGATGTATTTAAGGATTAAATGAAAATGAGAATATACCCATGAAAACTGTAAATGACACATACTACTTACATGATGACTTTTGCCATCATTATATCGCATTAGATTTCAATAAGCAGATATCCAAATAAATAGAGAATGTAAGTATGAAGCATTTTGAAATTTGTTTTGCTGACATACATTGTGTGGCATATGCTTTTCTAAACTCTCTGATCCAAAGAGAAACAAGAGAGTTTTACCTAGGGTAATACTTTAAGAGAATGATTTACTTTAGTTTTTTTTTTTTTTTGGTCAGATTTATTTTTATTGGAAAGGCAGATTTAGAGAGAAGGAGAAACAGAGAGAAAGATCTTCTGCCTGTTGGTTCACTTCCAGGTGGCCACAATGGTCAGAGCTGAGCCAATCTCAAGCCAAGAGTCAGGAGCTTCTTCCAGGTCTCCCTCATGGGTGCAAGGCCCCAAGGCTTCGGGCCGTCCTCAACTGCATTCCCAGGACACAAGCAGGGAGTTGGATGGTAAGTGGAGTAGATGGGACATGAACCAGAGCCCACATGGGAATCCTGGCACATGCAAAGTGAGAACTTTACCCACTAGGCTACCACACTGGGCCTGAGGATGATTTTCTTGACATTGTTTGTAGGAAATGATGAACTAAAGCAAAAATCAGAGCAGATAACTGTATTGCTGAAGCCAAGTTAGCTAGCTGGGCAGATGGTGACAGTGGGCTGCCTGTGACTCATCTCCTAGCCAGCAGCTGGAGGGAACGTGAGCCACAGCTCCTGTGTCTGATAGATCTGGCTGCGCACTCAACTCTGCCACCTCGGAGCCGTGAGGTTTGAGGAAGGCAATCTCTCTTGTGTGAACTTCCTCATTTGCAAAGCAGAGAAATGGAAGAGTTGTTGGTGCTGTTTTCAAATCACTATCAACTACTATGACACACAAGGAGCTTGCACATGCAAATAAAAACTATGCCAATCTTTTCTAGAATTTGCCCTTACAGGAATTATAGACTAAGCTATTATCATGAGCACTCTTGCCATGACTGTTATGAACACTATTATTATTCTGTGAGCTCTGTAAGCTCTTGAAGGCCCCGAAGAGTTGCTGATTGTCTGGTGGTAGAGAAAATCCCTTTAAATCCTGTGGCAGACATGTCCTTTCTGCACAGCATGACCCAGTATAGACAGATTCAACAAGTCACTTAATCCCTTTCTCATGAGTTTTGCTTTGACAACACCTCACTAAACCACAGCCTAACTCAACTTACATCACAAAGTGATGAGATTCGTGTGTAACGTGCTTTAGCACATTTACAAAAAATAAATGTTTACTAAAGGAACAAAGATTGGGTTGAAAATGAACAGTCCTGGACCCAACATGATTGCCTAATGGCTAAATCCTCGCCTTGCATGTGCCAAGATCCCATATGAGCACTGGTTCTTGTCCCGATTGCTCCATTTCTCATCCAGCTTTCTGCCTAGAGCTCTGGAAAGCAGTAGAGGACAGCCCAAACCTTGAGATCTCGCACCCACTTGGAAGACCTGGAGGAGGCTCCTGGCTCCTGGCCTCAGACTGGCTCAGCTCTGACCATGGTGGCCATTTGCAGAGTGAACCAGTGAATGGAAGATCTCTCTGTCTCTCCATTTCTCTCTAAATCTGCCTTTCCACTAAAAATAAAATAAATCTTAAAAGAAAGAAAACTATTTTTAGAAAAATAAATAAAGAAAAGAAAATGAATAGTCCTGGATTCTTTTACAGGGTCTTTGAGTTGCTGGGATAATTACCCAAATCTCTCCAAACCTCAGACTACTCTCTCACTAAGTGCACATCCTATTAGCTTTGTTCTATTATAAAAGAGCATTAACAGGATGATGTGGCTTGGGGTAGACTATCAATAACTCTTAGGTCCCTTCCCCATAAAAAGATATAATAAAATACTTTATTAAAAGGAGACTAAGTAAAATCTGTGGTTTCTATCTTTTTTTTATGTGAAAATATCTCAAACATATATTTTTATTCTGGCACAAGTCTTTACTTTTTCTATTAATTTATGCTGAGGGCTTAGTGCATTTACAAGTGAATTGTGACATGCTATGTTTTAGGCTAGACAGAAAACCATTGTTTCATAACAGATGACTGAATATCCTAAATGGAACACAGTCTCTTCGATTAAGTTCAGAATACCTAAATGAAATTCAAGCCAGTATCATCCATGGGGATAATGCTCAAACAGGATCTAATAAATGACATACAATTCAGATAAATGGATTTCTGTATTAATATATATATATACACACACACATACACACACACATTCATATGCATGGTATACGTTGTATATGTGTAAATATAGAATGGGCATGTTTATGTGTGTGCATATGAAATGTTATTGTCTCTAAATTAAAATGCTAAAATTGAGCACTAAAGACGATATTGGCATGCATGGATGCCAGCAAAGCGTTCCACAAAAACTATTGCTGTTTTTATATCTCTTTACACAGCTAAAAAGTCCATTTTCATTTGCAGCTTGCCTCTTGAAACATTTCCTTTGATATTCACTTCAGTGTGTTGGATATGTAAACACTTACTATAGGCACATCCAAACACTTCGATTCGCATTCCAATTCTGCCCTTGGGGTTCCATTCTACAGGGATGAAGCGCAGAAATCTGGCCTGGATGGAAGGCTGGAGCCTAGCGTACACCACACTGTCTGCATTTGCATTTCCTGAAAAGCCCTAGAAGAGAAAGGGAGGGAGGAGATCAATGGGTCTGGAGAGTCCACCGCCACCTCAAATGTCAATGAGTAACGCACAACGCAAGTTTTTGTTATGAAAATGCTTCCTGCTTAAAAAAAGAATTTCATATTGTTTCTTTTTTTTTTTTTACAAAAGTTATTGTCACCTAAACTTTTCTTCTTTTTAAAAGCACTTTACATTCTACCAATTCCATTAAACTGTGATACACTTGGAAAAGACGGCTTCTGCAAAGTGCAGAATAAACTTTAAAATGTGCCATGCCTGGGACTATTAACATTGAGACTAGAAAAGAGAGAGAAACACACACAGATAGAAAACATGCTTCTAGGATAGTAGAACACCATGACCTGATTTAGCAAAGTTGCAATGAGTCACGTTATGACTCATCTCGGATGTTTCACCTTCTCGTATTACCCATTAACATAAACAAAATATCACCCAACATTTAAGCTATATTCTCACAACAACTTGTTACATTTCATTTGTACATGGCTGAATGAAAAAATATTGTGACGTGAAATTGGAAACAGTAAGAATTCAGAAAGTTCTACAATTAGAGACTGACGAATCTGAAAGCTAGAGACCTGGGGACAAATGCTAAGGCAGCAGAAATTGCAGATGAGGAAATTAAAGGTCAGAAAGGTGAAAAAAAAAACCCTGTGGTGTTTGCAAAACCATTATACAGTAAGACAAGAGCCATGTCCTTGCACAATATCAAGATGCGACCACCTGCAAAACCCACAAATGACAGCATCTAACACTTGAGCCAAAAAGTTCATGTTACTTCTCAGAGCATGTTGACTAATATGCACACTTGCATTCTATCACCAGTGACGAATGTAATTATTCAGGTTGTCTCAGAGACATTCGGTCACGACAGCACTCCTCATTTACTGTCACTTCTGATACCTGTTGCCACGGTGTGCACAGCACATTTGTATTCTGATGTTTGCTAGCACAGAAATATAAAACTACTGAATTATCCCACATACAAATTTGGACTACGATAACCCCAAACCTTCTAAAGACCTACATCTTGTTCCACTGTTTTTGTTAAGGCTTTGTAAGAAAGATCAGCTGTTCTCTATATGACACAATTCCACTAATTGAAATCCATCTCTATATACCACCCTTTCCATGTCTCCATCATGGAAATCAGAAATATTAACCTAAATATTGGATGCTTTATGAAGCCCAATGCTTCCTTTTAAATGGCTGATATGGGGCACTATTTCCCAAATGTGGCCTGCACCTACCTGTGACACATCAAGTGCTCAGATCCTAGGCAAGAGGGTAGGTGCACATGTGTGTTGTGCTTGAATGCATATGAGTGTGTATGTAGAAGTCCATACAAACTCTTCACACCAAGGCGATGTGCACTGAGACCCACCTGAAGATGTTTAGTTCCAATCCACAGCAACAGGCTGTCTAATCAATCTCTTACATGAACGTGTTTCAGGGCTTCATGGAAATGATGAAGTTAAGAGATAAGCCAATCTTTCAGCAAAAAAAATCAAAATCGCGTATGTAAGCATTTTCAAAAAATCATGGAAAACGTGTATTTTAAGAAACTAAAGATAGATTTCAATTTTTTGGCAACAAAAAACACTCGTGTTTTAATTCCATTTTTCTGGACTTTTAAAATATTCTTATACTTTTCATTCCATCTTACTGTCAGGCCAATATAATCTCTAATTAGAGTTTCTTGCAGAGGGAACTGCCAGATGATTAATGAGATAATCCTCTGAAACACTGCAAACATTTCAAAATTAATGTAAGTCCGTAGCGTTGGATAGATGCCTCTACAGTCTTTCCAGCATTAAAGGAAGCAGGGGAAAAATATAAACAGTGACAACAGATCAACAGGATGGGAAAGTCTGTAAACAGCAATGTTTCATTTCACACTGATCCGGTCATAAGTTACTTGACTTTGGGAAACACAAGGAAGAAGTTTAAGGTATGTAGTTTGGGGACTGGCATTGTAGATTCGGGGTTTAGATCACCCACTTCGGCAGCTGGTGTCCCAGTGCACAGTGCCAATTCAAGGCCTGGCTGCTTCACTTCTGATCCTCCTTCCTGCTCATGTGCCCGGGAAGACAGCAGATGACCTACTCAGCTATTTGGAGCTTCTGGCTACTGGCTGCAAACCTGTTCCAGCCCTATCTGTCACCTTCATCTGGACAGTAGGTCAGCAGATGGAAGACTCCTCTCTCTTTTTCTCTCTCTCACTCTCTTGCTCTTGTTCTCATCACTCTGGCGTCTGCATTTTAGATATACAGATCTTGAAGATCCATGGTTTATACAAGTCATCAAACTGTTTATTCACACAATCAAAATGATAAAAATGATCTCTTATGGGGTTGTGGAATTAGGATTATGAAACCCTTGGCACATTTCATGTACATCTGGATTTTTATGAGAATATATGAAGTTAAAATAAGCAATAAAATAAACTAAGACAAACATGGGAGGTGTGGAGTGTTAAAAAAAAAAAAGGACAAAAGTACTACTTACTATCAACTTGGATACCTTAAACATGTCAGTACTTCAAAAATCTCCTGGAAAATGAAATCAAAGGACAAGGTAGTTTTTGTTTGTTTTTGGTATGAACGAATTCCAAACTATGCATATGAGATATCTTCAAAAAGATCATGCAAAAGATACATTATCAAAATCGTCTTAGACATGGATTTCAGGTATTTTTGCTCCAATTTTATTTATTTATTTGTTTGTTTGTTTGTTTGTTTGTTTGTGTATTTAAAGAAAGGCAGAGAAAGAGAGTTTTGCCTTCCACCTGCTGGTTTCCTTTCCAGATGTCCACAACCAGGGCTGGGCCAGGCTGAAGCCAGGAACCTGGAACTCAGCTTGGCTTCCTACATGGGCAGCATTAACCCAAAGACTTCAGCTATCACCCTTCACCTGCTGCCCCCATCCTGTTCCACTGTCCATTCTTTTTTCCACTAAGGATTTGGTAAGAAAAGTCTATTCTATATTAGCAGGAATTTATTACTAAAGGAGGAGCTAGCAGGTGAATCCAGGCCCTCTAACATGGGATGTGGATGTTCCCAGCAACATTTGAATTGCTGTGCCAAGCACCTGTTCTTAATTCATTCTCCACAAACTTACTGAAATTCTCTTGTAGGTTTCTAATGTCAATGTCACTTTGGAAAATATGCATCATTACCACTTATACTAAACTGAACTGAACAATAATACTTGCATTATTTTACTTGACTTGTGCTAAATGTTAACGCACAAGATAATCAAACTTTTTCTTTGGATTTCAATATGTAGTGGAAATTTCCTCAGAATGTTTATGGATGAGGCTTGAGGTTGATAATGCTTTGCTTTATGAATGAAAAGCCTAATATTTGTTATCAAGTTCCCAATGTATTTTCTTTGCCTAAGAGGCTATCCTCAGAGTAACACGGGTATGTTTCTGGATTATTGTGCACACCTTTTTGAATGCAGATTTCTGGGTTCTACACTTGACCAAACAAATCCTTTAATAGGTCCCTAAAATCTGCATTTCTGATGCATTTCAGTTTAACCCTGTACCTTTGGTCTCTAGCTCACTCTTGGAACACTGTTTTGGTTTGTGGATACAGCATACTTCTTTTCTCCTTGTTACCTCCAAAACTTTCTAGAGAGAGAAAAGATGTGGGAAAAAACTACTCCAAGGAGAGAAGTACACCATGCTTATAGTCTGTTTGGGTTATCATAACAGAATACTGAACTTTATCCACATCTGAAATATGGGCAGCTTGAGATCAAGGTGCAAGAAAATGGGATGTCTGCTTAGGGCCCATTTGCTAGTTGAGTGACATCAACCCTCTTTTGTGTCCTCACAGGATGGAAGGGGCAAAGGGTCAACCTAATTCCATTTCTGGAGACCCCTCTTGACCACTGCCCTGTCCACACTTTGCACTTGGAACCTCAAAATCTGAAGCTTGGTGCCAGGCATCCAGGGCCTAACGAGAGGCAAACATGCTTGATGTTAGCAAGCACCCTGCCTTCAATTTAAAAGTTTCTGGTTCAGCAAGCACTAGATACAACTGAGACATAGGATATAGCTTTAATATTTATGCCAACCATCTAAAGTCACTATTTTTGTACCCACTTTATAAGAGAGGAAAATGAAAATTACAGAGGTGACATGCCAGAAGGTGGAAAGTGAGGGTTTAATTCCAGGCCCTTCTGATTCCATAGTCTCTAATTTATCTAAGCCTTCAAATGACCTCACTCTAAAAGACTATGAAAGCAAACAATCTACCCCAGAGGAAACTTGATGTGTCTGAAGCTTTTTGTCTTTTTTTTTTTAACTATAGTTTATATTTAAAATCTTTTATACGTTGGAGAATAATACAGCTTAGATGATTGCTAAACTTGGACTCAGCTCTACCAGTTGACTTTGTACCTAAAAATATTATTTGCTCAAATCACATTTCCTCAGGCTTGATGGAAAGTAAACATAGAAGACAAGGGTTCAACGATTAATGAAACTCTTGCATATAAATAGCAACCTACTAATAAATATAGAATATAAAGAAATTCATTATTATGCCATCAAATATATGAAATATCTAGAACTAAAGTTAAGGTTATATGTCTTGTTAAAATTTTTATTAAATAGAACAGATTTCATGTATTTCATCTTCTTAGAATTTCTGAAGGTTATGTTCTCCATGATAAAAATCAAAGACTTAATGATTTCTTTGTTAGATTTGATCATTCTGAAATCCAATGAAGTACTCATAGATGGTATAGAAATGTAGCTTAACCAAGATAATTTAGAATTAGTTAATTAAAATTTCTCACAGGATTTTAAGTATTTCTAAAGTGAGTCTGAAGTTTATGAAGAGGTATAATAGCACTAATTTCTTCTTCAAATATTAATTGAGCAGCTCATGTATAAAAGCCAAGATGTATAGAAGAAAATGCCCATATGGCAACGCCTAAGGAGGTGTAATAAATCTGAA